ATACTACCAACATGTGAGTGTGTGTGTGTGTATGTAAATTTACATAAATAGTCAAAAATATGTATCGTCATTACGAATCTTTTTAATAAAACAGACAAACAGAAAATAGACATATACACACATGCATTTACACCTATGGGATGTGAGTAAGCAGCTGTGTTGTTTGTAGACTTAGACTGTCTCCTGGGGATAACTGGGGGAGCAGCCATCTTACAGAGCGAAATAATGGAAATGGAAAAGACAAAGAAAGTTATATAGACAGTGATAAAAATTCCTGTCATCCAATTGACAGCTTTACTGGTGACCTGCTCACACACAGTCAATGTCAAGTCTGGTATGGTTCAGCTGTACACTGATGAGTCACAATAACAACAAAACCATGGAAAGCTTGGACAGGTATGTGGCTTTTTAAATGCATTTAAGAGAACAAATAATGTCTGAATTTTTAAATCTACTTAAATTATACCTGCAGTTCCTTGGTCACCACTTTACGTCGGACTAAACTTTCAGTTAAACAGCATTATGCTACCACAACCCAGTTATCAAAGAGGATTATTGGGCAGTGGACCATTGGGGAGAAAACATCAGAAACTGAAGACAGAATTTCATTCATCTGAGCTGGCAGGCAGACAAAAAAGTGAGACGACTATGCCAAGGAGCCTGAGAGAATCTCTTTATATGGTTTAATGGTTTAATAAAATAAGCTTTAGGACTCCCTATAATTAAGACACGCCTGTTCAGATTTTTCTTTTTCTTTTTTTGCCAAACAAACTCAATGAATGGCAGGATTGCTTGAGAGTTTCACTCCTTCATTGTTTAAGACTCTGGGATAAAGAAGGTTGACATTCCACACATAACCAATACATTACTGCGCATTAGCTCAGTCACAGCTATGGCCTCCAACTAGTAGAAACCAATAAATGCTTGTCAGATCTTTATGATCAATTAGCTTCTTAGTTGTGGGGTCACACCAGAGCTGTTTAAGAGTCTCTGAATATTTATTTTCAGGATGTTAGCAGTTAAAAAAAAAAAAAAGTTATTAAAATGTACAATTCAACTTTTACAGATGGATTCCAAAGTCTGAGACCACTTGTTAAAACACTTTTTTTGTATGTATTTTCCAGTTTTAAATAAATAAATAAATGCCAGTCTTCAGCATCTCCACAGCCCCATATAGGACAAGCAGTTTGCAAAATGTATGAATGGTTGGAAATAAATAAATGAAATAATATAGACAATAGACCGCAAAAAAAGGTTTGTGCAAAAATGAGTGATCATGTTCCTCAGCATGATTTGAGATGATCCATAGAACACTGTATGCTTCAGTGGAGGCAAGAACATCTTACTGTCTATACAAAATGGCATGATCATAGTAATGATCAATGTCACAAATGTAGTTATTTGATTAGTGACCTAGAAATAGCGTACAATCTAAATCATTTGTTCTCCGTTTTATGTCAAATGTTTCAAAATCCTAATCCTTTTTATTTCAAGGTTTAGATTAGATTTTGAATCCCTGGTTTCCAATGTGGTCTCAGATTTTTGGACCCTGACTATATTCCTGAAAATTGCAAGTAGAAATTTCCAAGAACCCAACACAATCGCCATGTCAAAATCACTGCATTGACTAAACACTCTTGTGTTGTTTAGGAGGAGTGGCAGCATCTATACCCAGGATTTTTAACACAGCTGCTATTATTAGCAGAGATCTATTCAATGACTTGTTTGAATTCACACTGTCATGTCATTGTATCGCCAAAGAATAGGTACAAGACAAAAAAATAGCTCTTAGATTTGAGATTACAATGCATTGAACATTGCTATAGATGAGTGAATACTTTCCAGTTCTTCAGGGAAAAGCATTCGTTACCGATGTGCATCGCAACTAGCATCGGCATGTGTGACCATAAAATCATAATACACACCTGTTGCCTAAATTGCTAGTATTAATATAAAGTGTAGATTTCCATGGCATTCTTATAAAGATTTAAATGGCTGGTTTAAAAGTCTTACCGTGTGTTAGATGTGTGCACCTCCTTCTGTCACATCTTCTGTTTACACCTAATAGAGAAATGCAAGAACAAGAAAAACAAGTTGATCTGTTTAACCTGAAGAAAGCCTGGACTCCCTCTCTCTCTCTCTCTCTCTCCTGAGTTTCGGGATATGAAGAGCATAGAAACCTGGGTGGAAGTGTGTTAATACAGTCTGATGACTGCATTCCTCTTACATTCCTCTGCGAGACAATAAACACACAAGATCTTCACAGAGATAAGATTTTTTATAAGAAACTTTGAGAAGCCCAAAGGAAAATATAAAAAAATAATGTGTAAAACACCACATAAACATATGTATTAACACATAAAGACACATAAATGAAATACTCACAGAGCCACAGAGTCTTCAGCAGTGCATCAGTCACTGCTTCAGTGCAGTGTGTTCGGGCTAAGCTTGTTTGTCTAGATCTGTCATTCTTCTCATGCCCTCCCTCTATCTTTAGTTTTTTCTCTTCCACTGTTCCTGTCACTCACATGTGTAAAGATACCTCAGTGTTTAAGCTATTTGAAGTATTTTCGTGAGTCTAGGTCAATTTATGTGGTGTTTGCTGTCAGCATCCAATACATTTAGAGTGATATTATCTTACTGCAAAGCTTTTGATGCATAGATTGTATTAGTAATGTATTGTTGTTGCTTTGCTTTTTTAAGCAATCATATCTCATTGTTATGAAATATTTATTATTCTTATGAATCTCTGTAGCTTGCTCAGTTGTTGGAAATTGTGCAAAACTATCTATTTATTATTCATGCTAAAAATAAGGAAATCTATTATTACATATTAGGTAAAGAAGAGGTATAGAAGGTATATACTGTAGAAGAATCTCTCAAAACACACAAAGTAAATAATAAACATACACTTCCACGCTTACATAACCTCTCACTTGCAATGATTGTGTCATTTTGATATGAATTCTGTCTGTTGCCTCAGACGCCTTGCCAAGTAGAGCACAAATGCTGTTCATCCTACCAGGATCTGTGAATCAAGTTTCACATGACACTTTTTGTACCTGCATTTCCTCTTTCCTCTCATTCAAAGTGCTACACTGTACCTTACGAATCTGCATTTTGAATCTTTAAAGCGATGATTAATTAAACACTAGTCTTCGATCTCTAAGTAGATTGGTAGATGCGCAACTTTTAATAAAAATAAAAATGAAAAAGACTTGTTTTCTTCGTGAACAACTTCTGCGTATTTAGCGAACAGGTTGAGTAACTGATTCAATGATTCACTCGAAAAGATTTGCTTATCTCCACCTACCGGGGAAACATGCAAAATGTATTCACCAAACAGGATATGGCGTCACACTCTATGGCTTTTGTTCATACATTTAGACTGTGTAAAGTAGTCTTTCATCAATTACATTTTCAGAGCTGGGTAGTAACTGATTACATGTAATCTGGATTACATAATCAGATTCCAAAAATTAAGTACTTGTAATTAGAGTAAATTACATTTTAATATACTCACAATCAGACTACAGTAAATTTTTTGTTGATTACATATTATTCACACAATAGCAATAAATTATCCATCATTTATTTATTCTTCCTAATTTCTCTTTTTCATCTTTTAAAATTTCCTTTCTAATTGATGTAATGTAATGTTTAATGCACTTATCCTATAATGTGATAGTTAGGTCAAAAGTAAGCTAAACATAATCTGATTTTAAAAAGTAGCCTGATTTTATTACCCAAAATGTGTAATGTAATGGATTACGTTACTAACTAAATTTTTTGTTATGTAATTTGAAATCAGTAACGGACTACAATTTGTAAGTAATCTACCCAGCTCTGTCCATTTTTCACAACACTGGATATTATTGGACACTGCAAACCTACATCTTTGTTTGGGATGTCGTCCTCTCCTCATACGAATTATCAAGCAATGTTCCCTAAACTTTTGTTTAAAAAAAGTACAAGAAATAACATAATGACACCGCATACAACTTAACTAAGTTTCAAACTAAGTGTTTTCTAATGAGCTTGTTTCTGGTCTCCCGATGTCACACGCGAATGAATGCAAGTCAGCGGAATGCAGTGCCTGCAGAAAAACTGAACGAATCACTGAAGGATTCAAAAGATTCGACTCAGTGGGTTCAATTGGAATCTCCAGAACTGTCAGCCTTTCACAATTTCATCCCAGGCATGATGTAAACCCTATCTCCCGTCCCAAAATAATACAGAATAATGCCCATATCCGTATAACTCTAAGGCCTTTCAGTAAAGAAAGTTATTTATATTTTAATATTATATTATGCATTTATACTATTTTATAAACACATCTAAATGAACATATTTACATTTTTTTTTGCTGAGATTTGATGCAGTGACACAATTTTGCATTGTGATTACGCGATGACGTCACCGCGCAATGACATCGCGTCATTTAGCAACTTTTAGTAACAAATCAATCTTCCTTTAGCAACTTCCCCTAAAAATTAGTTGGCAACACTGATTGCAATGGGCCTTCTTGGTAAGAATGAGTGATCTTATGTAACGCCTGTCAACGTGCCTCTTCTTGCAAGAACTAGCTTCTTCACTTCTGCTCTTGTAGCAGATGTATCTATGCGTACCCACAGACGTTCTATAGGCTCTCAACGCATATGAACAACAATGTGCTTATTCAAAATACAAACAAGAGTCGTGGCGCGAGGTGGAGCTTAGCGGTTAAACTCTCGTTTTACTGTCCACAGCAGCTCCCCAAGTGATTTAAAATCAGTTTAAGGGACTTTATACACCTACTACGTTGTAGGTATTTATATAGGTAGATATTTTGTTATATTTGTGGGTGTTTTGATAAAGAGAATGCAGACCCCAAAAGGGGAGCTCCGCGTGTTCTGTAATGTGACACAAAGAGCTGTCAAGAAGGGGGAGGGCACGTTACAACATAGATAAAAAAGCTCATGAGTTGTTCTCCAATGACAGAGCACCCGACACAACGTCAGGGTCTGGCGTTACATTTGCCTTTTTACCAAAGTTGTACATTCGGAGCCGTGCCATCCAACGTGGCGATCCCCCAGCCAACCCAAGAGCGGGGTAAAAATACTGCAGTGGATCTGAACGACTGGATTTTTAGCTGAATCGATAACACAGAGGCTGCCAGTCGAAGATTAACGGTTTAAAAAAAAATAAAAAAACTACTACAAGGCAGCTCCCCCTGAAACGGGCTGCAAGGTAAGAAGAGTCAAAGAACTGCATAAAGTTTTCTCATAAGCTACAAGCGAGAGCTTTTCAACTGAATTGCAACCGTTTCCTTAACATACAGTATATGCATGTGTGGATAGGAGTTGGATGCATTACCTTAGAAGTTCTTATTTTCTTACTAGTTTCTACCAACAAACGAGTAAGAAACTATCAAATTGTGTCCAATTGCATTTGAGACTTTGCATAAAAGTTTTAAAGGGGCCATACGATGCGATTTTAAGTTTTCCTTTCTCTTTAGAGTGTTACAAGCTGTTCGTGAATAGATAAGATCCCTAAAGTTGCAAAGACTAAAGTCTCAAACCCAAAGAGATATTCTTTATAAAAGTTAAGACTGGTTCACGCCCTCCTAAAACGGCTCGTTTAAACTCGCCCCCACATATCTACATCACTATGTGGGAAGATTTGTAAAACGCCGCCCAAATGTTCACGCAAAGAAAGAAGGCGTAACTTTTATTCTCGCTGTAGTATTGTTGCCGCTGCCATGTCGTGAAGGCGCTGTGTTTTGTTGTGAAAGCGAAACTACATTGTTTGGCCTTCCAAAAGAGGACACAACTAGAAATCAGTGGTTAAGTTATATTTACAACACTGTTCCAGTTCCAACAGTTCAACCCAAATATTCAGATGTGTGCAGCGCATTTTACGGAGGACGTGGACTGTTTCCTGGGAGAGTAGCCTACAATGCCGGTGTTCTGACAAACGCGTTTCAGAAAGGCGGGGCATAGAGGAGCAACAATAATGTACATTATGTGGAAAATAATGTGTTTTTTTAACCTTAAACCACATAAACACATTTAATTACACCAAATACACAAAATACTGTTCTTTTTAGCAACATCATATGACCTCTTTAACTCAGTCACTGATTTTGTTCTTTAATACATTAAATTGGTTCTATGATCAAGTCTGTCTTTAATCAGTATTTACAGTTTATTTGCAGGCAGAAACAATGAGTGTAAATGCATTGGTGGTGTGTGATATATTATATTCCTGGATTCCTAAAATTCCTATGTTCCTAAAATACCGTCAGCTGCCAAATTTGCACCAAGCTGGTGATGTTGCAGAAAATTTCAGCCAAAAATGTACCTTGTGTATATTAATTTAAACTTTTAAGTCAAAATATATTTATATAGCACAATAAAAGCAACAGAAGTTGACACAAAGTGCTGCACAATTTAGAAAATCATATAGAATATTTATACAAACTTCCATATAAATACCAAATAATAAATAAATAATTTTTACAGTTTCAGAAACAATCATATTTCAAAAACAAAGATTAACGGCCAGCTTTTGTTGCAGACAAAAACATTTTGAAACATCGTAACATTGGACTTGTTGTTAGTTGCTGTAATATGTGAAGTTGTGTTTTTTACGTGAAGTTGTTTCTTATCTTTCTTACCCTGAAACACAAGTAAAATTTGCTTCTTTTAAGCTGACAAATATAAACAGTGTGGGTACCCACATGGACAGTGAGAGCAAAGGAGAGGGTGTCAATTTCAATATTTCAGTCAGTGGTGTTGATACTGTCTACATAGTCATGTGCTCTCTTATGCGCAGTTGCGCAAATGAAATCAAATGAGACTGGCACAGAAAAATAGCACAGCCAATCAAATAACTGGTTGAGTGGGAAGGTCACTGGCACTTGTAGAAAAGGCACTCGGAGGATTAACAACGAGGCAAAGAAAATCTGTTCACTTTCCCACTAGGTTTAGTTAGCTTTTGTCTTTCTTTATTGTGTAATTGGCAGAGTAGTCATGCCAAACAGCTACCTAGACATGCAAGAGCATGGAGACAAGAGAGAGATGAGATGTTTACTTTTCTCATGTCACAAGATCATCATAGAGGCATCGGACACCTTGAAAACTTTCCACTTCACAAAGTCCGCTTGTCAGTCAACTCGGCTCTGACGCAGTAACACACCTCTTTCTCCTTCTCTCACATGCTCTCTCACTCTGTCTTTGCTAAAGAGAGGGATCTGGACATCTGTACTTTTCCACTCTCACAGTGGAGAGCGCTTAGATCCCAGAGGAAGACCCAACTCTATGTATGTTTTGCAAGACCCCTCTTTCCATTAAACATATTTATTGGACTGTCCCGCTTTTAATGCAAGTAAACATTATTTTTATGTATTAAGCTCACTTAAGGTCTTGTTTAGTAAGATTTTACCAGATAATTTTTTTATCTTTATTATATGTAAATGTAAAACATGTATATTTTTCTTTTTGTTAGTTTATTTGATTATATTTATGCAACCCTTGTATTTATGTAACTTTGTAGGCTCAGATGCTGACATGGCATTAAAATCTATACTACTACTACTACTAGATCCCCGAGCTGGGCCCTTCTTCATACGGTGGGTAAATAGTGCTAGACCTGACTCTTTCAAGTCAACGTTTACCCATATGACCTCTTTAGCTGTGAAACTGTATGCAGACGCATGACTTTATGCCCCGGTTCAGGGGTTTTCAAACTTTTTAAACCCTTTTAATACCTGCAAATATGATGATCCCCTTTCATGAAATATAAAGGCAACTATATACATGACATGCATTTTCATGTATACAGACCCAGTTATACTTTGGAAAGCATTGAATTATAAAGACAAGTCTGTCATTTATCATTGCACTTAACGAAAATTATTAAAACATAATGTTGAAAATATATTTATATATTTACCCAATATTAGAGATTTTTTCAATTAAAAAATATTTTCATAACGGTTTTTTCTTTCTTTCTTTTTTTAATTTCTATTTGTTCATTGTTAATCATACAAAAACAAAACACATACAATAACCAACGTAGGCATTATTTTTTACAATAAAACAAGAACACTGATGCATAATTGTTACCAGATATGTATGTCGTCAATCCTGGAGACAAAATAATTTCATTTTCCAAATGCTTTGTATTGTATAGCACTTTTCATAATAAATAGTATCATTAAGTGAACATAGTGTCATATAATTAACAAGACATACATTGTAAGAAAGGGGAGATATAGAAATTTGATCAGATTACCTATGTATCCCTAGTACTACTTGCTCACAAAATACTAATCTTGTGAGGTAGAATAACTTCACTCGCTGGACTAGAGGTTACATAAACATTTTACAGTTTATAGTACAGTACTTGAAGTGCTTTTCACTTTAAATTAGCCAACTAAATTAGTTACTATAACACTGTAAGTAAAATATATTTGAAAAACAGTGTTTTTTTGTATGGTGCTACGGTATGACATAGAATAAATTTTTTCTTGTATTTATTATTTTTTTTACAGCTGTTTAATTACATCAGTGGCATACTGTATTTGTGCTTCACATACTGTAATTTATCTCCGAACATTAAGTAAGTTCCCATATCTCTGGAGCCTTAGCTTGGAAACAAGCTACAACTCAAAGAGCTTTTTGATTTCTAACAGTTGGAAATAAACAGCAATTAACTGGCCTAAATTTTCTTGTACAGTCCTGGTTGTGTGTTTCACAATCACAAGGAGGGCCTCTGTATGTTGAAAATCATGTGAAATACAGTTTTTGACAAAATTAGTTTTGAACCAACGGGACTCTGATGCTGGAATTGTGTTCGCAGGCTGTAGCTGTGGTTGCCTTCTGTTTACTTTTAAATATTTGGCCTGATCTGTATGCAAACATTTATTATTTGTCAAATTAACAAGACTTTAAGCCACCAAGCATACACACTTCTATGTTTGTCATTCGCCTGTGTTCAGCTGAGCTCTTTATCTCCACTTGAGAATGTCTGGATTATTTCTAAGATAAAGAGAATTAGATGTACTGTACGGGTTAGTGACAAAGAAGGAGTGAAAGTATGCCATAAATAAATAAAACACAAATTATAAACTGATTTTATATTAATAAAAGAAGAGATTAAAATAAATTATTACAAGTTTTTTAAAAATGCATTATGTTGAATAAAACAAGCACATGGACCTATACATAATATAAGGCAACTAATTCATTTAGCCTCTCTTCACTCTGGTTTTCTGCTCTCAGTGTTGTACATTCTGCACCATAATCTTCTGTTTACCTTGAAATGAGAAGAAAAGTGATAGCTGGAGGGAACCAGGGAGATGGCCAGTTGGTTTTGACTTTTTGACTTTACTCACTCCAACTTACATAAAGAACACAATGAATCCTTTCACTTCTCTCCAGGGAAGAGGGAGAGAGTCCAAGAAAAAATGAGAGAGGTAAATACAGCGAAGTGGAGAGATAGATGAAGAGAAATAGAGGGTTAGCGGTTCCCCGTGGTTTTCTGCGAAATGGGTGTACTTGTCCAGGAAGGTGTCTTATGTACTGTGAACATCATGTTGAACATATTCTTTTCTCTTGTACGTCACTGTCTTAGACCTTCTGTTGACAACAATTTAATTGCTGAGAACCTGAAAGGAACATTATAAAAATGAATCGTTTCACCATTTTAACCATGATGGTTAAAACAAGCAGCTACGCTGGAAGCAGTGTTGTTATTGGTAACTAAAACTATTAAAAATGGATTTCATTAATAGAAATAAAGCTGAAATAAAATACAAAAATACATTTTAAAATGCAACAAAAATTGAAATGCAACTAAAATAAGTAAGTTGAAGTAGTAAAATTGCTAAAGCTGAAATAAAATGAAAGATAAAGAGAAATGAAAATGACAAGGAGCACATAACAACATTACTAAAACAAACTAAAATGAAAATGAAAACAGAAAATATAAAAATAAAATCTAATTCGAAATATTAGTATATGAATCATACTAAAATAAGACTGACTGGTCATTGTTCATGTTCTCCAGCATTTAGTGACAAATGTTGTGTCCTCTCTAGATGGAGAAGCCGCCGTTGCCCAATGATGAGGATGGTAGTGTATTGACTGAGAGTCGATCAGACACGGCTCTGGTGGCGGCAGATGAAGAAGGGTCTGCGGGTGCTGATGGGCCAGAGGACGACAGGCCAGCGTGGGACAGTAAGCTGCAGTATGTGCTCGCTCAGGTGGGCTTTAGTGTTGGCCTGGGCAATGTCTGGAGGTTCCCCTATCTCTGCCACCAAAATGGAGGAGGTGGGTACTTTTGTTTATTGTATGTCTTTGTGAAATTGAGCTGTTTGTTAACGTAATCACACACTCTCTGTCTTCAGGTGCCTTTATGTTACTGTATGTGATGCTGTTGCTCATTATCGGGGTTCCTCTGTTCTTCATGGAGCTGGCCGCTGGGCAGAGCATCCGTCAGGGCAGCATCGGGGTCTGGAAGCACATCTCACCTCGCCTCGCCGGCATCGGTTACTCCAGCTGCATGGTAAAACACTCTCTATATGAGAATAACTAATATTTTAGTACTTGAAGAAAATGATTTTATTGCATTATAACATTGAGCTTATATATACACGTATATGCATAGAAATATACATGTAGACGTGTGTACACATTAATATATATATATATATATATATATTTTCCAGTGCATAGTATACATTATAACAAAGATAGACAAAAATAGTGTGTTGACATTTTTTCAGAGGTGTTATTGGTGAGTGTATATTTAAAACAAGCTGAAAGGTGTCATGTTTCGTCGGGTGGTTACATGACATGGGATTTTTTAAACTTGATTTATGGGCTTTAGCTTCTGTAAATCCCTAGATTAGTTGCAACAGGAAATGTGTCTGTATACAGGCAAAAAAGCCACAAATATTTTGTGGCTGATGCAATAAAATTAGAACATTTAGAGAAAATATTTGTATCATGCTGGGTAGAATTGTCAAAACAGAAGTGTCAGTTTTATTCTGAGGCTTTAAAAAAACGCAGCCAGCTTTAGTTCACTGTTATGAGAAGTGTTTCTAAAGTAGCTGCAATCTATACACGCATGTTGATATATATTCTGTGTTTGTATGTGAGGAGTGGGAGTATTTCCTCTCTGTACGAAAATATAAGAGGATTTCCTGTGTGCTTTTGCATATGTGTGCTTGTATGATAACAGTATCAGATTGTCAGTAAGACCATAAGTTCCATAATGTTGGTATCTTACACGATATGGGAGGTTATCTGAGTTTGTCTTTCAGTAACAGAACCAGTAAAGATAATGACAATGACTATTCTGTTCAGTTTAAAATGATATATCTACACAGGCGTTTTCATGCTGCTCTTGTTTTTCTCAGGTTTGTTTCTTCGTGGCCCTGTACTATAATGTGATCATTGCCTGGTCTCTGTTCTATATGGGGAATTCATTCCAGTATCCATTGCCATGGGAACAGTGTCCTGTAGATATGATCTCAAACCAGACAGGTATGTTGCTCACAAACACATAATCACTTGAAATGGCCATTTCGAGTCATTTTGTAGTCATATACCATAGACTGTATAAAAACATGGGCGTAGTGTCTGTGACGTCACCCATTGGATTCTGAAGAGAGTTTTTGAAGCTCAAAGTGGGCGGAGCCGGCCGTCGCCATCTTTGCAGCTCATCACCGCGTGTCACTCCCAGATAATCGAAAATGGGCAAAGAGGCGGGAGCTGGTTGCTGAAACCACACCCACCTAGCTCAATGCCGGTGACGGCAGCGGCAATCCACCTGTCACTCAAGCCACGCCCTTAATTATGCAGAACTTTAAGGCTTAACATAATTTAAACGGATGACTTATAAAAAAAAATTCACCCCCCTCACAGTTGTCATGAAGGGCAAAATTAGCTATATAGACCAAAACCACTTTTTGCACCAGGCTGGAAACACATTTTTTTCTGCTGTAAAGTTGGGCATTTTAACATGGGGAGTCTATGGGACTGACTCCCTTTTGGAGCCAGCCTCTAGCGGCCAGTTGATGAATGACCGTTTTAGTCACTTCCGTGTTGGCTTCACGAGAGAGACGGGGAGGTTGCCGCTTGCCATATACACATAAAATGAGTAATTAGTTTCTTACCATAGTACTATTCAAAAGTTTGAGGTCAGAAAGTTTTTTTTTTTTTTTTTTAAGAAATTAATACTTTTATTCAGCAAGGATGCATTACACGGATCAAAAGTGACAGTAAAGATATTTATAATACAAAAATTGTTAAATTAATGCTGTTCCTTTGAACTTTCTTTTCATCATAAAGTCCTGAAAATAAGTAATACGTTTAATTTAAAGCATCACAACTGTTTTAAACTGATAATAATAAGAAATGTTTCTCGAGCAGCAAATCTGCATATTTTAATGATTTCTAAAGGATCATGTGACAGTGGCTGCTGAAAAGTCAGTTTTGCCATCACATGAAAATATATTAAAATAATGTATGTATGTGAAATTTATATTTAGTTTTATTTTAAAGTATTATATAAGCAATAACGGTTTCCAAAAGACAAAAATGAACAAACAAATAAAATATGAAAAATAAATAAATAAATAAAAAAAAATTTGGGAAAATTAAACGCACAGTATGCAGTAATGAAAACATCAAGTTTTTAAAATAACAGTAAAACACACTGCATTCAAACTTTAGGTCAAGGGTTCAATGGAAGAATACATTTCGTTATTGCCTTAGGCAAAGGCACAAAGGAAAATCAGTTTTTCTATTCAAATATGGAAAAAAAATTGAATAGTGTTAGCAATCCACTAATGAGCACTTCACTAGTCAGTTACTCACATACATCCCTGATAATTATACTCTTTGTATATTGCGTGACTTTGATATAAAGGGTTTTTGTACGGCTGTGTTGTAACACATCTCATCTTCTTGTCTTAGTGAAGGAATGTGCGTCAAGCTCTCCTACCTCATATTTCTGGTTCAGAAAGGCTCTGGATATCTCAGACTCCATAGATCAGTCAGGAGAGTTTAACCCCATCATGACCGGTTGCCTGCTTGCAGCCTGGGCTTTAGTGTGTCTCGCAATGATCAAGGGCATCAAGTCTTCTGCTAAGGTATACCATGCACACATGTTTGTTTCTCTATCATGTTGGAGACTTTTCTTGTAAATCTATTGTTTGTTACTGAGCGAATGATATTTTCTATCCCTTAACCTCAGACAAAGCTTACTATATTGTAAAAAATAAAGAATTGTATCAAGCCATTTTCCTGCAATGTTGGTGTTTTGCTATTTTTGTGAGGTTTTAGTATCCTTGAAGGGATATTTGGTTCCCAGTGTGTTCAAAATTGTTGGCAAAACATGTAAATAAATGGAATCAGCAGATGTTTCATAGTGAAATCAAAACATAAAAAGATCATGATCTGTCTCTTCTTTTCTTTAGGTGATGTATTTCTCCTCTGTGTTCCCTTACGCTGTGTTGATCTGTTTTCTAATCAGAGGGGTCATGTTGGACGGCGCTGTAGAGGGCATCAAATATATGTTTTATCCTAAGGTGACAACAAGAGCTCACTCCCATCAAATGCAATATCTAAATGTGATTGTGTAATCATAGTCTATTCCTCCCTGTCTTTATTAGCTGGAGATTTGGGGGGAAGTGCAGGTGTGGCGTCAGGCTGCTACACAGGTGTTCTTCGCACTGGGTCTGGGTTACGGCTCTGTGATCGCTTACTCGTCCTACAATCCTGTGCATAACAACTGCCACCGGGACGCCATCATGGTCTCAGGCATCAACTTCATGACCTCAGTATTGGCCTCTCTGGTTGTCTTTGTGGTCCTCGGTTTCAGAGCTAAGAACATTGCTTTGGGTTGTGTTGCAGCGTAAGTGAGAATCTGTGTTCATTTTCCTCCTTTTTTGCTTGAAATACAATTGTATCTCTCACTTTAATTTATGAAAGTGTTATGAAATAGACACACATCACTGTTCACACATATTTTTAAATGTTTTTGAACAAAGTCTCTCATGCTCACCAAAGCTACATTTGAACAAATTCAGAGTAAAAACAGTAATAATGTGAAATATTATTACAATTTAAAATAACTTTTTCTTTGAATATTACAAAATATAATCACAAAATTATAACCTTTCATTGAAGTAAAACAATTTGAAAGTGGGGGAAACTCACATTATGAAATAAATGTTTTTCTCCAATAGCCACAATTATTGGCACCCCTAGAAATTCTTCATAACAACGTTTATTTCATTATGAGATCCCCCCCCCCTTCACAGCCACCTTCGCTCATACTTACCAAGGGTGCCAATATTAGTGGAGGGCACTGTATATACAATAGATCCAGATAATAGTTTTTCTCTGTTACTAAAAATGATTTCACAATTTCTTTATATTGATATTACATGTAATGTTAATATCACTCTGTAGTAATGTGGCCAGGATGGCAGGAATGGCTACAACAGGTTCGTCGGAGCATTGGTGGCCATGGTTCAACATTTCAGACCCCGAATCAGTGACTCTTCAAGACTACAGAGAATGGTACAGCCACTATGGAAGCCTGCTAGGGTCAAACATCACTGACTGTGACCTGGAAAGAGAAATGAGCAAGGTGGGATTCACATATATGTATGTGCTTCAGTGCATATTCAGTATCCAAATGTGTCTCACTATCATAATGAAACTGTTTCTGGTTGTGAGAGTCCATCTGCGTTGATCCTGTTTCTATTTCTCTTAGGGTGTGGAGGGCACGGGTTTGGCGTTCATAGCATTTACAGAGGCGATGGCATTGTTTCCAGCAAGTCCATTTTGGTCGACTTTGTTCTTCCTCATGCTGCTGAATTTAGGCCTCTCCACCATGTTTGGCACCATGCAGGGGATTCTTACCCCACTCATGGACAACTTCCGAGTGCTCGGGCGCCACAAGACCATGTTGACGGGTACACACAAATAGACATGCTCATATACTAAAGGATATTGTGCCGTGGCTGTAAATGTCACATAACTTGGCTGTATCATTTGTATAATTTGCAGTGTGTAGCTGTATCCTGGGCTTCTTCATTGGCCTGCTGTTCACTCAGAGAAGTGGCAACTATTTTGTGACCATGTTTGATGACTATTCTGCCACACTGCCACTGATCATCGTTGTGGTTTTTGAAACCTTCAGCGTGGCGTGGATTTACGGTGCTGATCGGTGAGATGATAGATTTTTAAGATGATTATCTTGGGGTTAATATGGTTTGTGTGATCGGCCGTGTGTAGTTTTTTTGATCCTCATTGTATTTGCTGTTCTCCAGTTTCTTGGATGATGTGGAGGTGATGCTGCACTGGCGCCCTCCGGTGATTTATCGCTATTTGTGGAAGTATGTGTGTCTGCTCGGCATGGTGGGACTGCTGGCTGCTAGTCTTCTCCGCATGGTCTTCAAACGGCCCACTTACACAGCTTGGAACCACACCACGGTATTATACACTCTCAAATGAGATGGACCATTATAAACTAACTTCCATGTAAAAAAAAAAAAGAATGATGACTGTAGATACCTTTAAAGGGATAGTTCACCCAAAAATTCTGTCATTGATTACTCACCCTCATGTCGTTATAAAACCTGTAAGTCCTTCATTCATCTTCAGAACACAAATTAAGATATTTTTTAAGAAATCCGAGAGCTTTCTGACCCTGCATAGACAACAATGCAACTACCACGGTCAAGGTCCAGAAATGAATGAATGAAGGTCTTCCGGGTTTGGATCGACAAGAGGGTGAGTAATTAATGACAGAATTGTAACCCGAAGGTCATGGGTTCGAGTCTCAGGTCCGGCAGGAATTGTCAGTAAGCGGAGAGAATAACTAGCACTCTCTCCAACCTCAATACCATTCTGACGGCACCCATTCACTGCAAATCTGGGATGGCCTGAGTGTGAGTAAATTTTTAGCAAATTTTCATTTTTAGGTGAACTATTCCTCTAAGAAAGATGCACACTTAGAATTAATATCAAATTACAGCTTCTCCAAAGGACATCATGAAATTACACTCATGTCATACAGAATATAGCTGGTGGAGGCAGTTTTTAAAAATGTATCAGAATTATCAATGTTACTAGAATACTAATATTTTTGTATACTTTTCTGCAAGGAAATGGTTTTTAGAGGTTCAAAGTTTCTTTGAGTATGAAAATATTAGTTGTTAACTTTTTTAATAAGCTTGTTTTAGCCTGGAAATGGTTATAATATCAAGAGGAAATTGTTATATGTTATTAATAGAGTTACATGAAAAGTCAACATAAATGTCGGATGTAAATTAAGTACACAAATTATTTTGTAGTTTTCAGTGACCGTAAAATACTACAATGTTTTTAGTAAAGCCACAGATGATAGTATAAATGATCTGACTATCAAATGGCGCAGATTGCACAAATAATAGGTTAAAGCTACTTTGTCAAACAGAAAGCACAGCTCATGGTTGAGCATCACCCACCCACTCCTAATATATCTACATATGTGACCCTGGACATAAATAACACTAGTATATTTGTAGCAATAGCCAAAAATGCATTGTATGGATTTTTCGAAAATTGACCCTTATGACTGGTTTTGTGGTCCAGGCTCACATATATGTTTTAATTTTCCGGTTTGTACAACTCCACTGGTACATGTAATACAATGCAATTTAAGCCATAACTCATGATGCCAAACTTTGACTGCACAGGAAGAAAAGGCTTTACATTCATAGTGCACAGTTTACAGTATCATTGAATTGTGAGATCAGAAGAACAATGCAGAACAGTTAATAAATGACTGCTATGTGGACCCTCAGCTTGAATCAGGTGTGTGAACACAAATACTACAGATTAATTTCATGGTCCTTTGATGGTTATTAGGGGTGGGAAAGCATTATGGAGGTGTTTGCATGTTTACTTCATTTGTGAGTATTCTTTTTATTCATTCACTTCTGTTGTAATGTAATTTGACAGTACATACAGAATAGTTTGGATACTTTAGAGTGTGTGTCAAAAACAATATTTTGTAATTACCATCACAATTTGTGCCATGCTGAAGAGTCACTGCATATTGTCTGTACCAAATAAAAAGTTCTTTGGTCATAGATGTGAGAGCACATTTCTTTCATTAATATTTATTTTGTTTACCAGTATGTTTTTAGAAGATTATAAGTTCACTTAAGTTCAATTCAAATATTTTTAAAATTTTATACAGTTTTCATAATAAATATTGTTGCGAAGGGGTTTTAAGACAGAACGGATTTCAGACCAGAATTTAAAGAAAGCAGAATGAAACTGTAATAATGTCAGGGAAAATGCACACAAAATTAAACAATTTAACTATTTTCCTCTAAAATTTTCTTTAGACTCTATAGTTACACCTTTTATTTTATTTATTATATGTGGAACATTAAAAACCCATCTGTATGAAGTGAAAACCTTTGTGAGCTATTTTTACCTGATATACCTTATCCTTAACCTAAAAGAATGTTTGTTTGTGTAACCATCCAAAAAATATAGACAGGTTGATTCAGTCTGTTTTCATGCTATTATTATGAAAATAAGAATTTGACCTGACAACCGGTTGATTTAGATTTTAGGCTATATGAAATCTTACATTATCTGGCAAGCAGTTATAATTATTATATAACTGCATTATTAATGAATTGCCAAATTATCAGTATTATTTAAATCTGCAAATACACTATATCACTGTAGTAAACGCAAGGTGGCGATAGACTGCACATAAACTTTCACACAGGGACCTCAGGTACCATCACACGATGCTGAGAAACTCTGCGCACAAACACAACTTTTATTTACAGGTGACAGACTGTGTGATATAGCCTACTATAGACTATAAAAGGTTAATTACATGAGGAATGTAGCAGCTAAAAAAAAGCTTTTATTGATTATATAAAAAATATGTCAATGTCTTTATGCTTTATGAGACATCTATTGTGTTAGCATATTATATATATTATTAGGCTATAATATATTCTGGACCACGGACACAGAGAGAGAGATAACTGAACTACAGATAGTAAGGCAAATCTGAGAGAGAGAGAGAGAGAGAGAGGCGCACGGGACAGGAGCATACCGGTCGGACTCGGAAGTCGCGAGGATGGAGATCCGTCCAGACCGCTTTAAGGCTCAGGCAGGAAAAACATTGGGGAAAATACACAGGTGAGGAAGTATCTTGCTATCCTCAAAGCATTTTGGTACTTTAAGAAGTTTTCCTTTAATTGTTTTATATTTCTCTCTTGGTTTCTGTGTATTCTTGTTTAAAAACTAAACATAGTGTTCAAAAGTGATTTACGTCGAAATTGAGGTGTTGAGAAAACTTCTGGAATTCAAAGGCGATGAGTTTATGTCAGTGACCTGAGCTGACAGCACATTTACTGAGGAAAGATGCTGGTGGAACCGTATTATATCAAGTTCACTGTAGCCAAAAAGTGCTGTGTTCCCTTCTCTGTGCATGTGTATCCTGCCTCAACTCAAGATGTCAGGTGCAAACCCTTGTCGTGATTGACTCTCAGTCAAAGGTCTTCTTATGTAATCTGTTTGCATGTAATGCGTCCACTCTGTCCGATTGAGGAGATTGTCCAGAAGGATCAGATTAGTTCGCGGCTAACCCGGTGCCATCCGACTCATGGCGTTGATGGCTTGCTCTCTCTAGTATCTGTGCGCTAGGCATGGGCCGGTATGAGATTTTGACGGTATGATAACCTCCGTCTTCAACGTCTCTAGCCTGTGTTAACGGGCGTTTACAGACTTCATATTTTCACATAAATTACATTTTAGAAAACGATTGCATTGCAACGCAGTTTGTGCAAGTCGAGACGAGTTGCTTGCAATAAGACAAAAAATGGCCTGTTGCCGATCGCGTAAGTTCCAGAGGAAGCTCCTTCAGTCGTCATACACACACACAGGTGACTGAGCGCTCGCTCGCACCAACAGGAGGAGGAGGATTGTGTTACTCTCTACACTGCACTCAACCTGAGGGATTCCTACACTTTCAGTCTTTGAGGACACACGAAAAACAGCGCATACCGCAGGAACAGTACAACGGAAAATATTAGCGGTTTTGAAACCGTGACATTTTCAAATCGCGGTATACCTTGAAACCGGTAATCGGCCCATGCCTACTGTGCGCGTGAGCGAGTTATTTCAAATGAACCTTTTTATTCCACCTAAGCCTCAGGTAGCGTTGCGCATCACCGAACAGCTCGCGCTCAGAACATTTGCAAGTTCTGATTCCACGCACTAGTTAATAAAGCGGACCGCTCTCAGAGAACAGGAAGTCAATGGCCAAATTTGGTCTTAATACGCCATGAGTACTTAGTAGTAAACATAATACAAACGTTCCATAGCCTACAAAAAGAACAAGTAGGCTATTTTATATGCTAGCCTATTAGTAATAAGAATGAATGGTAGCTAAATAAAGTAATTACTTCAACAACTAAACTGTATTATGTTTTACAACTAATTAAGAAGGAAGGAAGTATTTTGTCTTGACAGATTTGGTGTTGAGCACATTTGGCTGGCGGGGGAGTGTTTTAAATACCTTGTTAATTCGATATCTGTCTTAGGTGCAAATTCAGACAGGATGAACTGCTCAAAGGTCAAAGTACATCCCTTTCAAGAAAAAGTTCATCTAATGCCTGGAAAAATGTTTGATAACCACTAACATCAATGTCCTGTTTTATAAAAAAAGTATTTAAAATAAATATACAAGATCATCACACAGTCACGTCAATATCCAATGGTGACACATGGATAATTGTGCGTGCATCTATTAATCATTTAGAGTCTAATATCATCCCATAACATTTTGCATAACCATGCGCTTTCTCACGTACGCTTCCAATGGATTTTAGGTAGCAACGAAACATTTAAATCCAACTCGAAAATAGCCCATGAGAAACACACACAGCTGTCGGCCCTACAAATCCCTGCACGCCCCCTCCCCATCACTTCCTCTTCTCTGTGATCTCGCTGGATTAAGAGAAGGGCGGCACGCGACTCCCATTTTTTAGCGGCGCTGCATGTGCGCAGTAGTTTCCCTCAGTGAGTGAATTTAGCCTAATATAACTTTTCGAATAAATCTCATATTTGATAACCTGTGCCTTTAAGTGTAGTGTGAAACGAAAGGCATTGTATCTGTGGAAAAGTTTGTGTTAAAAGTAAACTGCTGATCTGGATTTCTGCCTCTCCTCTTTAGCTGTGACTCTGTGTCCCTGATAATATTTTAGAGAAAGCATCAGCAGCTGATTAATCATTCAAAGCTCAGCAATGCGTCTCCTTCTCCTACTGTTTCAGCCTCACAGGCCAGCAAGCACACACCTCACACCTGCAGTTTTCCCTCTGTCATCCCTCCTCCATCTCTCCACCTCACTCTGCACATTCAGTCATCCCTCATTGAGGAATAGATGCTTTTTCAGACCTGTGAAATTTGGTTTTTTAATATAGTAAATTCTCTTAAAACAC